GAAGAAGCGAAATTTTCATCGACAACTTTAGAAACCAGATGAAGCGGGAACTCTCTTCCTAAGAACTTTAGAACGGAACCTACTTTAACTGGTTTTAAACGCCTCGTAAAAACATTCTCCTTTCAGGTATAATTGCTGATTACTACACTAACTATTTATTTTATATATATTGTAGCCAAACATAATTCACTCAGTTAGTAGTAGTTGTTTTTGTTTCGTTTCTGTAACATTGGAAGTTAACGAAAAGTTCAGTTTTAACAAATCATTGGTAGCGTTTCCGTTTAGCTGGGCATATACGCACTGCAATTTTACCCGACAAAATTTAGGTACCCTATCTAAGGATCCCACAGGGAACATAGTGCCAACCGGGACAAAACTGATACCCCATTTAAGGATCGAGAATCTTAAAAACCATACCCTATCCCGTGGCACATACTTATATGTATATAGGCCAGATATAGGAGTATCTCCGGTGGACGGGGACAAAACTACCGCTTGTTGTTAACGTCTAAACTGCTTAAAATCTTGGCTACCATTAAAAGCCAAAAGGTTAAGACGATCGGTGAAAAGTTAAACTTTGTAGGCTGGATAATTGTGCATAATTTTTGTAATTATTGTTTTCCATCATCGGCTCCTTGGTTGGTTAACCACTGTCGGTGTCTGTTCTATTTACAGCGTTTTATTCAAATGTTTTGTACATTTTCGCTCAGCAACATCTTATTTTTGCGTTTCACTGCCGAGAAAGGACGAAGAGAGTTTTCCTAATAATAAGTTTCGTCAAAATACTGGGAACATTTCAGAACAAGTTGCGAAGAATTCTGGGAACGAGACGGCAAGGAGGACTGGAACGACATGAATGGCTAGTTCCCTTGCGAGGCACGCCTGCAGAGAATCACGGTAGTTCTTTTCATCAAAACACGTATCCAGTCCAGGCATGTCTCATAGAAGGAAATGACCATCGCACATGGCAGCGGCAAAGAGGTGGAAAAAGACCTAGGTGGATTGAGACGAAGGTGTACAATGAACACAATATCGACAGTGAAGTGGAAGAAAACAATGATCTCATGCAAGACGAATTTACGAAGAAGAGACGAATTATGTTAAGCCCTGGCCAAGCGGACTCGCAAGTAGTCGCAAGTAGCCGCAAGTTGAACTTGCGTAGAGACTTGCGTTGGGTGACCGATCGCGAACGGACTCGTAAGTTTCCTCGCAAGTACACGCAAGTTGCGAAAAAAAATTATTTCAAGGCTACGGGCTTCAGTCATATCCTGTATTTTATTGGCTAATAAGTTGCTATAACATCCAATGGACGTCACTCAACTTGCATTGACTTGGGTTGGGTGGCCAAACGGTGAAAAACTTGCGTCGACTTGCGAGCAAGTTTTATCTCGACCAAAGTGAGGGCAAGTCATCGCAAGTCAACACAAGTGCATGCAAGGCCTGGCCAAACGGACTCCCAAGTAGAACCAAGTTTTCAATTTGGGTCTACTTGCGAGTCCGCTTGGCCAGGGCTTTAGGTAGTTCGCAAAGCGGCTTTTTGTCTCCTCTGAAAAACTTTATAAATTATCGCATATCTTCGGAGGAAATCGGGCAGAAAATCAGCTTGGTATATTTCTCCAGTTTTATTATCAGAGACCGGGCAAAATTTGCTCTTCCATTATTATAACTATTCCCTGATTATAACCTCCTAAGTGCATCCATTTTCACATACAAAGTAATAACCGCCAGCAATCGAGATGACTTTTATGATGATAGAGTCATCTAGTTCGAGTCTTGTGTGAGAAACATTAAATTGAACGAGAATGCAGTACGTAAAAAAAAATTCCCAAGATAGCCAAAACAACATGTTATGTATCAAATTGGTTAACTTTATTTGTTATTTGTTGTTCAATCTTCTTGCACACCTGTTAGAAAGCAAAGGTTTTTCTTAGATATGTTGTAAAATTTCAGTAATAAGCTTATAATTGCGATATTGTACTGATTAATCGTGAGTTCTAATTGGCGAGCCTGAATGACATCAATTAAGCTGTCAATTTTTAAATAGTAATAGTAAATGATGTTGGCATGGAAATCTCGTTTTCAATCTGAGTCGTCGTTTTGATATCCTTCGTGTTTGTATGTTCCGACACTTCTTTCACCTACAACGGAGACAAAGGAAAGTATTGTGACTTCTTTCTGGGTGAGGGAGTCTAGCGAAAAAGTTTAAATTTGTAAATTGAAAATAAAAAGCTTAGGGGAAAAAATTACGATGGCCGAGTTTCAGATTAAAATGTCTCTAAAGTATGTTTCAAATACAAAAGCCTATTATACAAGTGAATAGATGAAAGATCATATATTTTAACTGCGGAGAATGATATGATAGATGTGGTGAAAATGTTAGGGGTACATTACGAACTCACAAAGTGACCATCTCCCAGGTGGCTTGATAGCTCAGTTGCATGGTAGAGCACTGCACCGGTTTTAGAGGTCATGGGTTCGAATCCCATTCAGGTCTGAATTTTTTTTTTATCAGGCTTAAATTTCACAACTGCTTAAGTTCTGTGTATGGTTGCGATGATCAATCATGTCTACAAAAGCCAATTGTTAGGAAACAGTGCTTAGGATGCATCTTTACTTGGGAGAGCTTCGTAAATTACTCCCCAAATCTTTAGACGCCCAGCAGACATGATCCAGGCTAAAGGTGAAAAATATGCGACCCATTCCAGGCAAGTAAGAATTCCTCAAATTAAACAAAATTTATCGACACATATTATCAATGAGTGTGATGAGAACTAACTTAAATACGATAACCTTCTTGTGCTTCCAGAGCGGAACCCAAAATTTGGAAGCAACTCAAGCTATTAGTTTTAACAATGTTTCAAGAAACATGACACTTCAATTCATAACCGCACCCAAATTCGCAAATAGCTAATCAGATTGAAGCTTTAACTACAATCCTTGATATCCTGCGATATTACGTTACTGGCCTGATATGGTCGATGTTTGTGCATTTGGGTGCGGTGAATACCTGTTCCTACTTTTTAGGGTCACTTCGCCAGATCAGGCTAGTTTGCTCTGTGCCAAAATACGAACCGTGGCTGGACAAAATCACCTGATAGGCCATTGAAGTGTTCCAAAAACCAGCGATTAGGATGAAGTATAGCAGATTGACGATAGTTTTCTTAACAGATTAGTACGTAAAATTGCGTAAATCGCCTTAGTTGCACATTTCTTACCTGTCCTCCGTTGATTTTTTCTGAGATGGGACTCAGTTTCAAAGTTTCTTTGAGAGTTTATTTGGCCTTCCCTGAATGGCCGTTTGACTTCTCTTCCAATACTGAAGTGTCCAAATACCTCTTTACTCGCCCATAACGAACACAAAGCAAAGAGTACAAGAAAAGAAGCCCATTTCGTGGATCCTACCATTTCTAACTGTCGAGAAATCCGAACAAAATGAACAATTCAGTGTTAACAGTACATCACAATCAACTAGTGTTGACACTTACGTAGTTATTGAGATTCAACTTAGAGGTTTAGGCGTTAAGTGCATTATCCAATACCTTTACTTGTCAGCCTATTATCCAACCCAGACTAAGTCTTCGAGCCCAAATGTGTTACGCTGAATAAATGTTCCAGTTTTTATATCCACTCCCTTGAGAATAGAGCTCTATTTTTTTCCCGCCTGTTTACATTTTTTAGCCTTAATTTTGCAAATTGTAACAGTTAGTCTTTGATAAAAGATTTCATCTAGCACTTGGTTATTGCAATCGGAAATTAATCGCAGGAAAGCGCTAAGCCTTAACAATGGTCCAGCATTATTCCGCCATTGATGTTTGATCTTATGTGAGGAAATCAACGCATTGGATGATTTTCATATTATCTTTGGGATTGGCTTGTTTTGAATTTTAAAATTAAAGATCCCGATTATTTACGTATCTTCAGAAACGAAGAATAACATGAGCTATTTCCTCAGTTGATTTCGTTTATTCGCCGAGGCAATGTTCAAAGTTAAGAATCCAAATACGATTGGAGTAAGATGTTTCCTGTAATGATTAACAGGAAATTGCTTTCTTTTTTAATCAAAGGAGTCACACAATCTTATGTGAACTAATTTTTGTGTGTGTGCGATAAGCATAATTTGAGTCCAATCAAATCTGTTTGCTTTTAGTGACTTAGAACTCGATATTGGACTTATTATTGCAATTTAAATTTCGGTAAAACTGCTTGAAAGGTTGGAAGATTTAAAATAACATTTAATCTAACCTTGAGTGACTTGCCAAATCAATATCAACAAATCAAATTGATTTTTATTCCGTACCTCTTCTTTCCGCTAATTGACAAAGTCAATAAAACGCTTATGTGGTTCAGCTGTCGACGGTTGAGCTGACTAATCAGTTTACAAAATTTTAATCAATTTCTTCCCGGCTATTGATCAAGGCTGTGGTGTTGAGACTTCTTTCCTGAACTTTCTTCCTTATTTGCTTCTCCTGATATTTTTCAAATTAGTTCATGGAAAATATAGAGAGCTACCTACACGCTACGGTGAGGAAAGATAATTAACAATTGATGGACAAGGCTGGGCAAAATATCGTGATTTGTCAGTGGTGAGCAGGTCAGTTATTTGCCGAAGCCGAAGTCTGAGGCAAATAACTGCGAGACTCTGACAAAACACGATATTTTGCGATAACCGAGTTTCGATAACGGTTTTATCATTCGATCACCAAGTTTGTTTTCATATATAAATCACTCTCCGGCAGCTCAGGGAACCGATCTGCCATTCCTCAAAACAAGCGCGTGGTTACAATTACGCAACGGAGCTGAATATTATTTGCAGTAATACACATATAGACGGTGCTACGCTAGCCTGCGAACGCAGACGTATTTCCGGCTGTCACTTGGTTCTGCCAAAAAATAACGTCTGCGAACCCGAGCCAGAAGACGTGACGTAGCAATTCTAAGCCAATCACAGTTTAGCTCAAATAACCCCAGAACTACTGCGCGAGGTATTCGCTGCGAGGAGCACTCGAGTTTCATTCTATCATGGAATCTGATTGGCCAAGGAGAAACAAAAGTCATTACGTCAAAGAAATCGTTTCCTGGCTCGGCTTCGCAGACGTTATTTTTCGGCGGAGCCAAGTGACAGCCGGAAATACGTCTGCGTTCGCAGGCTAGTGCCACGCATGAGCAGGCCATTCACGTGGTGGACCCTCGGCCAGTGAAAAGGAAGAAAAAAATCCATCGAATGACAATGTGATTTGTCTGCATGAGTGGTGTACGAAGATGTTTCTTCCAAATATTTGATCCCAATGCACAGATCACGGTATGTGGGTACGGTACATGGAAGAGATTTTTGTGAAAATTAATATACCTAATCTTGTTCATTTTCGGGGGAACATAATTTTGCAAAACCAAGAGAAGTGCGAAAAATTGCGTTGAAAGAAACTACAAAAAATTTCGCCAGCATTTTTCAATTGTTGATTAGCATTAACAAAACGGATAGTCTGAGAATTGGCGCCATATAATTTAAAGCCATTTTTTCAATCATGTCGAACCGATCTACGAAGAAAAAATCAAAAATTCAAAAATTGTGAAATTCAAAATGCGCTGGTTTCCAAACGAACGACGCTATTGAGCTGGAAAGTTGTAAACAGATATAAAAGTAGTACCTCTTACGCCTAATGAGGATAAAAACTTTGGTGGCTGTTTAGTTTTGGATTTAAGAATTTGATGACGTCACGTGAAAACGCTCTATAATGGTCTCTAAGGTCGGGGAGGCTCCGCCCGCAGGCATCTTTTTCCGGCCATAGGTATATAATAGGGTAGGAAATTTACAAATTGAGGGTAGAGAAATGAAAGGGTTGGGAGGTCGGTCCTTAAGGTATCTAAAAGAGACTTAAACTAAAATATTCGAACAAACGCTGACTATAGCTGTATCATTTCATTTATTGAGAACTACATGAGAAGACTTTCTTTCTACAGCGATTTATTTGTGATACAAGCCATTTATGAAAGTATGTCGGATAGCAGTACCTTTTTCAATAAAAAGTGTACCAAAGCAGCACCTTTTCTGTCAAAATGGTACACTTAAGCGGGAGTTGGACCCCGGGTCGGAGGCTCCCCGTATTAAACTTTGTAGAATACCCCCTCCCCCCTTAGGGGGCTCAAACTGTTGTTATGAAGTTTGCACCCTTCAATTTCACTGAAAGTAAACATTTCTGCAATTATTTCGCTGCTGTTTTAGAAAGAAGCAATAATTTTCTAGCCATGGTTCTGCGGTATGCAGGAATCCATTCGCGTTTACTAACCAGTTTGCAGTGTTAGAAAAGAGAACGGGAAAGATTTGAGATTAAAGTTTATTCTATCACGTTTATGCTATTTGCTGTAAAAATCTAATATTTACAAAATCATTCAGGGATTATTTTTTCCTATAAAAGCTACGTAACACTACAGGTCCCTAGTTTTTCGCCACTATTTTTAGCTGTCAAACTATCTTTGGGGTGCACTCGATAAAATAAGACATGAAATTTCCGTTTTCCGCCGTTCTCTCAAGTCCAGTCTACCAGTGTGGGCTCCTTTCTTGAACAGCGGCTGGTAATCGAGCTTATTTTAGGAATCAAATGAAGTTCGAGCCACGCCAATGTTGATCTACTTTAGGGGTTAATTCAATTTTTCCGACAAGCATCCCCGATCTTTTCATATGGGAGTTCCTCAGGGCTTAAACTCAGTAAAGTTTCGAGTAATCTTCTATTCTAGTCAGGTGCCTCAGTAAACCAGATGAATCTAGGCTAGGACAATTTTAAAGGAGACCTGATTTTGCTTGCGTCGATTTTATACGATTATTGTTTAAGCGTTTGTAGATTCGGTTGTAACTTCGTTGTCATCGCAGGCCAAATTGTCTGCCGCAGGGTTTGAATCGAGACTCTCTCCAGGAGCATGTCCGTTGCATGAAGATCCACTGGACAGTGATACTGCTGACGCGTCATAGTACGGTTGGTCTTCATTTAACTGATCCATGTCCAGATATGGAATTTCTCTTTGTATCCAGTCCTCTAGTTCTTGGCACAGCTCGGTAAAGGTTGGTCGCAGATCAGGATTGTCCACCCAGCAGCGCCTCATCATTTGATAGCTGTGTAAAAATGCAGATGGAAAATAAGCGCCGGTATAAAACACTTTGAATGTCTGAAATCGTAATATATCGTAATATATCACACGCGAAAGACCGTGTTTTACCACATTTCCTAACATTGAGGTGTTTGGGAATGTGGTCAAACACGATCTTCAGTGTTTGATATGTAAAACTGGGAAGAAAACGGAGGGGTAAACACGTAAAAATCTGTGCTAATTACACCGTCGCACCGTCATTTGATGAATTATTAATAAGTTTAAGAAGTGCCTTTGAAAGAGAGGAGAAGAGATATTCTATGATTTAAGGAATATTGATATATTGAAATGCAAATTATCATTCCAATCGGTTTTTTATTGGACAAAAAAAATTCTAACTGAACAATATACTCCCTCCCCCCTTCTCCCTCCACATTTATCACCATAAAAATGTGACTTACAACTCCTCTGAGCATGTATCTGGTTTTTCCATCCTGTATCCTCTTTTCAGAAGTCTCATAAGTTCTCTGTTTTTGATGCCGGGGTAAGGAAACCCTCCTAAAAATAAAGTTCACCTCGATTGTTATCACCCTTCATGATCTCAGTGGTAAATTACATTTTTAAAATTGTCCAAACA